CCAGATTAATAGTTTTTATTCAAGCTGTCTGTTAGAGCAAAGGGCTCTGGAGTGAAAGTTCTAGGGTCTTTCCTATGAGAGAAGAATGTAAATTTGAATGTGTAGATTCTGCACAGACTGGACTTCTTTTTGTTCCATTTGTGTTTTGCATTACACAATCAGAAGTCAAACTGGCTGATTGTGTAACATCATGCTAAATCTTATTCTGTATAAAGGTACTGGTCCTGATTAGAAAAATGGTTCTTAAATGTACAATTTTAAAGCTGTCCTGAGTATTGAGAAAGCAGCATAGCATGGTGAATGAGAAGGATGGGTTTGGATTAGACTTAGGTTCAAAATCAAGATCTGCCATTCACTAAGCCATATGACCTTGGGAAGTTACTTAACACTGAGCTGTTTTGTCATCTGTAAGAATGGTGTGCTAATTCCTCTCAGGTTGTAAGGACTAAATGAAATATTTAATATGTGGCACACAGTACTCCAGAAATGGTGGCTATTAATATAACCATTTTCATTATTAGGAAATATAAGTAAATAGATAAAATTCTGCATTTTAAAGTCTCCTTAGCAGAAAACCTAGAAATTAATTTTGATTTGCTTAGTTGCCCTGTTGTTCCTAACCACACCCTGGTATGACAATCCCATTATTTATGAACTTAATTTAACTTATTTGTACATGAGGCCATTAACAGTACTTGTTCAGTTACTCAACATCTGCCTTTCATAGTAATCAAAAACCTGATCTTTTAAATACCATTCAGGGGACTCTAAGGATTTTTCTAAACAGATGGATTGTGTCTTTGATACTTTTTCTCCTACATGTTCTCCAGAGATCAGAACTCTGAAAGATAGCACTGATTTGCCCTCTATTAAGTTTGGTTGAAATGGATACGAGTGACCTTCATATATTGAATGAAGTATTGTTGATGAAATTTAGTGTGTAGTGCGAGAATAAGAGAGACAAACCTTATGTAACCCTGTTCTATGTGTCGTATTGTTGTCATCTCGTGCACCTGTTCCATCTGTCTATCTGTACCTGCCGTCTGGATGTCTTTGGAAGATGCTTCCTGCTTGGGACCCTCCAGAGCACTAGGCCGGCCCTCCATCTTTATACACTTTACACTAATACAACAACTACTTTTTATACTCATTTCTGTGGGAGAGTATACTTACATATGATTCTCAAACGTTTCTCCGAATCTTAGTAGTGAAAAGTTTTTTGAGTGCTCAGATAAAAGATATGATGTTATAATATATATACATGTACTGACATAATAATATGGATTATTTGCATTCTAAAATATACCTAGAAATTAGAATTTTTTATAGAATGAGATAAATCTCTAGAAATACAAAGTTGCATCTATTTTTTTTCCTGCACTCCTTGGATTATTTTGTTGGTGCCTTGGATTGCATGTATCCCAGTATGAATCAGATTCATCCCTTGTGCCAAACAATTTAGAGCTTTATTAGAAGACAAAATGGCCTATATTGTCAATTCCTAATTTTCAGATAGTAGGATATATTAGAATTATTTAGATGAGTTAGTTACTATATCAGTTGTACTCAGTTAGTAAGATCAGCTTTTCCCAAACGCCATATGATACGAGAACGTGAAAACATGTGTAATTCTTTCTTAACACCAGAAGGAGAGAGGACAAAGATAGTGGATGGAGAGAGAAGAGCAAGATATACTTTTTCCCTTGATATGGGAGAAGATGCCATGTGTGAACAAGTAATTGCGTGGGTAAGCCAACTGATAATGTGAACATACTCAGTGTAGTGTAGTTGCTGAAGTGTTGAGTACAAAGTTCTGCATTCTGTGTGTGCAAGAAGCTTTGGCTAGTCAAGAAGAAGGGACATCTTCTCTTTTTTAAATAATAAGTATTAATCATGTTTTTTATGTATATATAAAACTTACATTTAAAAAACTCTTTGGGGTTCCCAAAAAGTTTTAGAAGTATGGTGAAGTCCTGAGATCCAAATGTTTGAGAACTGCTAGATTAAATTATCTTAAACTGCAATGCTTTTAAAAATGTCTCTGATTGCTTTTTAGAATTATGCATTTTTATTTCCTTCTGTGCATTTATCTGTCTATCTTTTACTTCTCTTCACTATCAGTGAGCTTGCTTCTGATAGCCCCTGAAACACATTTGGTTTTCTATTTCTGATCTGTTGTGGATGGGAAACCAGATAACTAGTTTTATTCAAGCTGTCTGTTAAGAGCAAAGGGCTCTGAGTGAAAGTTCTAGGGTCTTTCCTATGAGAGAAGAATGTAAATTTGAATGTGTAGATTCTGCACAGACTGGGACTTCTTTTTTGTTTCCATTTGTGTTTTGCATTACACAATCAGAAGTCA